CAGTTCAGTGTACTGTAATGTGAAATTGGCCAATTCGTTATACTATAATAAAAACAATAACAGGTTTTTTTTTATTTATTTCTAAGATATCATTACACTAGTAATTCAATGTAACATTTTTGCATTATTATATTGTATATACTACCAATAATACTACAATTATGAATAACACTTGCTAAAAATTATATAAATTGATAAATACGTCATATGCATCCCTCGTACGAGGCAAATGTGTATCTGTGTTTGTTTGTGTCACGATGAGCAATAATGTACTAGTAATATCTTCACGGGGGGGGGGGTGTGTGCTCGCGTTAGGTTTCACTTCTCTCAACATTCTATGGTATTTTATCGTTCGTGTTGTTTTGACAGCCCTGCTCGGTGTCGTGTAGAAATTTAAACACATTTTTGCTGACCGACAAAATATATATTGCCGACTTCAACTGCTATTTTCACTGCAATTCTGCGCAGTCAAGTGCAGTAACGTTACCAGTCGGGTAAATGTTTAGAATTGGCCATTATGACTTCCTTTCTTTATTTATCTCAATGTTGTTACATAATTGTTTTAATAATAATAATAATATTAATATTAATATAAAGTAAAACTCATAAGAATATCATATAATCGATAACATTTCTTGTTTCTTCGATGCGCGTTGTCAGCGCCGTTACGTCACATGAGTTATGATTGCCGGTTTGTATGAAATTGATCCTGTTGTAAGAAAAGTTAGATGAAAACACAATTATATAGATTGTGACAATAACGGACAAATAAATGATCGGATATGGTAATTAACCTTAACAAGAATTGTATTCCGTCTTGTTGAAAAAAAAAACGTGATACTTCGGAACATGCTGATGGATAAACGGTAAGAATAATGAACCACGATGCATGGTGGGATACCCACTTTAGTTATTCAGGTCTCACTGCCATCGCCATATTTCTATTTTGAAAATTAATTTTACGTTGAAACAGTAACTGTACAAATATTGCGTAGACCACTTGGTATAAAATTGAACTCAAAAGTCACCATTTTGTATTTGCTTCATTTTTATTTCGACGCAGTCATTACAATGTGACATCTGTAGACTTGTAAGTGGTAGTTACCATAGTTTACTCACGTATCAGACTCAACTAACAAGCACACAGTTTATAAAAAAAGTAACCCAAAACCAGTATTGAATAAGTGCTTGACCTGGTAACCATCGATGTTACCTCGCTACCATAGCAACAAAACACACCATCCATTGCATCTAATAATATCGCTCTGGAAGAGGAGTGGATAACAGCTCCGCAACGTCACACATTCACGATTCTCCTTTTTTCTAATATTTTTTTCGAATGATCGGTCAATTTTTGCTACTGTTTCAGGGGCGTTTTCAACAAATATTGTGCTATTTTCAATCGAAGACTCGAAAAAGTATATTAATTATAGCTGTCGACGAAAGAAACTGCATTTGCATAATAATAATCACGTCATCGGAGAATCTGAAATCGATTATATGCACCTGTCGTAATTGACAGGTGCCGGTTTCCTGCGCATGCGTTCTTTTTGCTGATTGGCTGGAGATGCTGTTCCTTTGAATTTTTGATAACTTTTATCGAACAATACTTTATTCCTCCTATTGACCGCCATCCACTGTTTGTCTCCATGTGAATTCCGATCATCACACCGTATAACTGCTACGGATGGACACTACTGAACCGCGTCGCGCTCATCTCAAAATGACGGACTGTATAGCGAATCAGCTTACGGAAGCGACGCAGAGACACGATCTCAACATAGACTACCTAACGCCAGAATACTAGTGTTTAAGAGCCAGAGTTAATTCGCTACATACGCGGAAAGTGATATATACCGATTCAATGTTTCGTCTGCATCAGCACAGTATACCACCACTCATGTCGTGAAACATTACTTCAGAAAAACAAGTCGCCATTTTATTCCTGTTACTGACATCGCTTAAAGAAAATATTTTGTTGGTGTGCAAATTATTTCGCATGGTGAGACCTTTAAAATTGTATTGTCACCGTCACGGTTTGCGGTTTGCGCATTTTCTATTTGTTTGTTTTTTTGAACTTGAACTATGAGTGCGTCCTCAAGCAGACATAATGTTGAACATGGCCCTCCTTCAGGGGTCAGTAGCAATACGGACGGAACTGAACAGGTCTCCGTACCGAAAAGGCACGACAATAAAATTTACATCAATGTTGGTGGAGTCAAACATGAAACTTACAAATCGACGCTGCGGAACATCCCCGACACCAGACTGTCTTGGTTAACACAGACTACCGCCAATAACGCCGATTATGACCCGGTAACCAAAGAATTCTTTTTTGACCGTCACCCGGGAGTGTTTTTGGCGATTCTTAACTATTACCGGACAGGTAAACTTCATTGTCCCAACGATGTGTGTGGTCCTCTTTTCGAAGAAGAGCTCCAGTTTTGGGGGATTGACGAGAAACAGATCGAACCGTGCTGCTGGTCGACTTACACGCAACACAGGGACGCGCAAGAGACGCTAGCGAAGCTGAACGGACCGGATTGGGAGGAGAATGACTTGGAGGAAGATGAGGAGGACGTTGCTAAGCGATTTGGAATCGAGGAATCGGGAGGTTTCGAGAAAGATACGTGGTGGGAACGATGGCAGCCCAGAATGTGGACTTTGTTAGAGGAGCCCTACTCGTCAAGATGGGCCACGGTATGTATATGTATGTCATAATGACGCTATTATTCTCACTAGAGGCGCTTTTGTAAAATAATTACGAATCATCACGCCTTATAATTTGACCTTGTTAATTTAATAGAGAGACAATATGCTACCTATAGTATTTTGATTTTCAGATCTTATCCATGCATTTTTGTTTTTCTTAACTACTGTTAAAACAGAAAAAGAGAAGTGCGGATGTAGGTTGTTTACTAACCCGCACGATTATCGATCGAAATCGTCTTCAATTTGTAAATACATTTCAGAGTTGGTATAGGTTCAGGGACGGAGTCGAATTAATGGATGCATGAAAGCAGCAGTTTATATTTTTAAAAACTTTATAAGGCTGACGTACGAACAAATTGTTCTTTCTGTAGTCGCTTAGTAACTTTACAGGTTGTGGTCAGGCAAGGTGAAACACAATGTAAGATGTCAAATACAGATGTTGGCACACGTATAATTCCATCGATAATTCCATCTCTTCATTATCACATCACCGAACCTTGAGAATACGGCGTGATTAGTTTTTTTTTTGTCCAGGGTAGACACCGACTTATGATACATATATACGTCGAATAAAACGCTCAGCAAACTTTTTTTGTTCGACCACATTTGCTGTCAATAACGGTGTTTCTTTTATATTTACCTGGGTCTTAGACACGTTTCTCGGGCGTTTTTGTTGTTGTACGAACCATAAACAAGGACAGATGAACACGAGGTCTTTGTATTGATTTAAGGGAATGGTATTTGTCGTATAAAAGTTGTTTGTCTAAAATTGGTCTCAACAGTGAGGGGAAATATTTCTCAATCTAATTTTCCACACATACAAACATATCACATTATGTATCTGTGTGTGATACCATTTAGAAATGTCCACATTTTTTAGCTTAAAATAAATGTTTTCTTGGCTGAGCTTTGTTCAATTATGTGTAGCCCAAATGGACCGAACGAAAGCTTGAACAATTCAACTTTAGCCAGTTATTCGAAACT